CCCCCACACCCTCTAGCAGATCATTACATGAAGGAACCTTTTAAATACAAGCGCGCTCACGCTCACAGGTGACCCGCTCTTTTTCTTTCCCTCTTTCTTTCTCCCTTTTCTTTTCTCCAGTCAAGTCTGTCCCGTGTTCAGCAAATGAAAACACAATAAACAATAAAAGCAAAGGTGAATCAAATAGACTAATACGGCAAGGCTGGGATGGTCCATTTGGTAAAGTAAATCCATTGGGTGTCTTTCTTTGCCTTTAGACAACAATTCTGATGACAAAAAAACCAAACGGGACAGTCAAAAAAAAAAAAAAAAAGATCCTAAATAATCTTAAACACTGTTTAGCTTAATCTTTTTGGATGTTTATTCAACATTCAATTGTAATTACCCAAAAACGTGGCTATTATTAGCTGTCCCTTACTCTCTTTTTTTTGTTTTTTTTTGTAATACAGCCTTCCCAAACAAGACCCGGGTGGCTATATTGGCAGAGCTGGAAAAGGAAAGGAGGCGACTGATGCAGAGTCAGTCCATGAATACTCCTGGAGCCAGGTAGGCGTAGTATAGCATAATCCAAGTAACAGAAGGGGGGGGGTATTAAGTCTGTGTGTAAAGCTTACCTGGGACATTAGTATGTGTCATGATCTGATGTCCTCGTGTTGGCATTGGTCCTACAACATCATAATTACTGTTGCATATGGACCATCAACTACAACGGTGATGCAAAAACATGAAAGAAGTCATCCAAGGACAGGACACACGCAAGTTATGAAGGTAACTTTGGTTCTGTGAATTCCCAGACATCAAGTTGGATATGTCTCCTTGCACTGCATGCAGGTTGAGATACCATGTTATAGCCTACATCCAGTCTCTAGGAAGCTTCTTGAGCCGAGATGTTCCGAGTGACCAGCATGACTGGCAGTTTCCCGGGAATTCACAGAACCATATTTACCTCTTTCAGTTTAACTCCCACCTCCCTGCCAGTAGCATTAAACAAGATGGCTGGCTTGTACCGGCAGTGCAATAAGGAACAACAGCTGGACACTGTTGTACAGATTTCCCCTTGTGAAACACGTTTCATTGCCATCCGAGATGTAGAGAGACTCCTGACAAATGTGGCAAATAACATCTGAGGGAACAGGTGTGCTCACCACTCCATATGCTTATTTTATTGTAAACAGTCCAGTGGGAAAGTCGATTTTTTTTTTTGGGACACAGCTTTTCCCCTGTTGTTTCAGTTATAACATATTAAGAGATGCTCTGAGTGTGTAAAGCTCTGTGCTGCTTCAAATCCTGAAGCCTGAACTTTAATGCCCTCATTATTACGACAAGGCGCCAGTTGCCTTTTTCTTCTCTAATGTTATGACTTCACAACAATGTGACTGGACATTTGCAGCGATGGTCCTGGAACAATAATTATGATGATGTTAGAACACCAACATATAACCTGTCATTAGTCAGGCTTAAAGGGCCGAGTTCAGGCAGAACAAAAAAGACTTTGGTAATTTTCACATGCTTCCATGCCATCTTTTCCCCTTCAACACTGTAGCATCTCGCTGGCCCGGCCCAGTGTTAAGGACTTCAGGGACAACGCAGAACAGCAGCACATCGCTGCGCAGCAGAAAGCAGCCTTGCAGGTAAGACACCAGAAACGCTACTAGAAGTGCAACTACATTCAATAATAATTAAATAAACCAGCCCTGTGATTACTCCTCCTCATTATGAATCTTACAGTGATTACAAGCAATCCTACACAGCATACATTAGAAGAGCCTTTTGATAGGAGCCCAACTAATACTGGATTTATTTTTTATTTTTTTAGGTGTAGGTGTGTGTGGGGGGGGGCAGTGAGGTCATTGATCCTTAATGTTCCAGTCATTTATTTTACAAGTTTACTGCTTGACTCCACATCACTGTGTCCTCAGCTGTGATTACAGTTACAGTGATTACAGCTGGTGCTGAGCGTGTCAGAGCCAATCTGCTGGATAAACAAATGCCAGATACCACATCTGTGATCTGAAATCCCAAATATTTTTACTAAGTGCTGGTGAATTAATCATTAGTTCAGGCATGCTGTCTCAAAGCTGCCTGATAGATCTGAGGGCAGCATTTCTTGTAAATTACAGTTACAAGAAAATACCAGCTGGGTATCACTTAGCAGTGCGTATGTGCTAATGTAGATTAGAGGTTAGATTTAAAAATGAGCTGCATTTAATCCTCCTTCTATATCATTACCAGTGGGAAATAACTATGATTTGTTATCAGGCTGTCAATATAAATTCAACCTCAACAAGTTAACTGATAAAACAGAATAAATGAAAACACAGATTCCTCATGTCATGCTGGTGGTGTGATTGCGTGTTTGGGTGGCCCTCTGCTGTCAAGCCTGTAGTTAACACCTTTATTTCTTTTCTTGCAGCATGCACATGCACATTCTTCAGGCTTCTTCATCACTCAGGACTCCTCATTTGGAAACCTCATCCTCCCAGTTCTTCCACGCCTGGAGCCAGAGTCTTGACGTTTTACGTACGATCTACCTTCTGGTGTGAGAGGCGCAGCTTTGGAACAAGCTGGGCGCACACCACGTCTCTCATCTTGGACAGCTGTTTGTGATGTCGTAAATGATCTCAGGGGAGTGTTAAATGACCTCTCTTATATTTTCATGACTAGGAAAGCTGGTTGCTGATTTTAGAAAACCTGCACAAGGGATCAGAAGACTGTTCTACATGGCCGTGAAACATTGCAGTAAAGGTTATATTTCGACTGTTTTCGTTCTGCTGTGGATAATAAAAATGTTGCATACATTAAAGATGATAACAGGAGTGCTTCTGGACTCTAACACACCCACTGATGTTCTTTGAGGGTGAAAGATATCAATTTAATAAATGGAGGAAAAAAAAAACTTTTTTTTGTGGTTTATTGTAAAACAGCCATAAGAAACACATTTTTTAGAACCTGATGAATTCTGAGCAGCTGAATCTGCCGTGAAAGTCAACAAGTGTCAGTTTCACGCTTCTGTTTCATAATCGCACAAGAAAAAAATCCACTAGACAGGAAGCACCCATGATGGTTGGAATACAGTCGACATATGATTTGAAGTCAATTATGTTAAAGTCTATACATAAAGTATGCAGAGGTTTTGTAGGCCTGTGCCTCAGGCAGAGCGAGCACCATACATGAAGCTGTCACTTTGACACAATGGGCAACAGTTCTCCTTTTGCCTTCATTGTTTTGATCTTTGCCTTAATGGTGTCGTCCATCGCCTGCCGGCAGCGGTGGGCGTAGTGTGCCAGCGTCTCCTCCTTCTCATCCCATGGCACCAGTGCGTGAAAAACCTCTGGAGCAGCCAGGCTGAGCTCCGCTATGGCCGCCGTGCGAGAGATTGTGTTGCGGTCCACACCGATGCGGTCAAACGCCACCTTCATGGAGACGCTGCGGCGAAACTCCTGGAGGGCAGCCATGTAGCGTGCTATCACACCCACCACGTTTTTCACTACCAATAAAAACAAAAAAACAATGTTTAGCACAGCGAGTACTCTGTGACACATTTATCAGAGTGTGTCTATGTGTCCTTACTCCTGACTCGAGTGTTTTCTCCATCCCGGCTCCTCTTGCTCTTCGGGGTCCGATGGCGCTCTAGAGGATGAAGCTCCACTTCCTCAAATGAGTCAAACAGCGTTGGCAAATCAAACCCAGCTGCATCATCAGAGGACGCCATGTGTGAGCTTCCAGGTTCCACCTGAGTGGAACAACGAGGCCACCTCTTCTCTAGAAGAAAGAAAGAGAAGGCTGAGGACTGAAGATTTTGAGAAACCAACTAACTCTAGTTCAGTGAACGTGATTTTTGTGTAAGGTTACAAACGGCACAGATTCGTGAGCTTACCGGGGCGCAGTTTATCCTGCAGAAACTCACATATGAGTTCAGCTTTCTTCGTGAGTTCATGTTGCAGCAGTTCTTTGTCCTGCTTCAAATTGGAGATCATGTCTGTCATTTGTTGGTTTCGGCTGCGTTCTGCTAAGAGTAATGCTCGCAGCTTCTCCAGCTCACTCTCGTCTTCTTCAGCTTTACAGACACACAAAAAAATTACAAACAAAAACAACGTTATGTTTTGTTCCCCTGATGGCATGAAAACATGCGAGCTGGTACCTGTGTTCTTCGTAGTGGTCTCTGTGGCAGAGCTGCATCGCTCAGCCTGCTCTGTGGTCCCTGCTGTGCAGCTGCCTCCTCCTAGTACCTCCGTCTCTGGATCCATCGATCCCTCACACCCCACATGTTGTCCATGCTGGGGCTGACAGCAAGATGAAAGAGCCTTTTTTGGCCACAGTGTTTGTGTGATTTGAGAGTATGTGTTTGGTGCCTGATGAGTTTGTAAAACACAGACTAGGTCTGTCTCTGCGAGCCCAGTGTCATCGTCTTTTGCTGGGGCGGATTCCTGTTTGACCTTCTTTGCAACGATGGCTCCTCCCTGGGCCCCGCCTCTTTTCCTAGATGGCCGGGGCTCATAGTCGCCATCCTCATCTGTGGCTGATGAATCACATGCAGCAATGTCAAAAAGCCGACCGCTGAACTCCTCGCCCTCTGATGCCGCTTCACTATAGGAGAGGTCACATGATGTTCTCACTGCAATCTGAACATTTAGAAAGAGGTGATGTCCAACTGTCCAACCTTATAATCCAGTACATAATTGTCTCTATAGCTTTACTGTACAGTTCATGACAACTGTACAATTCATTTTCATGTAAGTCACCAGTTTACATCAAATTACGCCTTAAAATTATGCATAACTTGCATGAAATCCATGGACTGTAACTTAAAGATGGCTTGTAACCACATAGCTTCCACGTTCCAAAAACAAAGCCACTGTAAAAGTGATTTAAGAGTGCATTATATCACCAAAAATCCAACATAAAAGTAAGGCTGCAGGGATTTTCCAGTCTTGTCTGGGTTTAATCATATGTTGACAGACAAAGTATTAAAGGCTCATGAACCCACATGCTGATTATACACTGGCCCTAAGCTCATGTGAATTTGTCAGTAACCCAATTCTTTGCACATTTGCACATCCCCGTGTCATTTCAGACAATACCAGCACCTCACATCTTTACCTCACCTTAGTGGTTGGACGACCTCCAGCAAACCTCTCCTGGCCCTGTCTGGTACTGGCTGAGCCGCCACAAGTGTTTGCATTTTCACCAAGGGGCCAGTGGTAGGCGTGTCCAGCCCCACAGCCCCACACAGCAATGGGGACGCTGCCACCGTGCGGACCAGATTCAGCTGTCAGCACATTGCTGTAGGAGCCACGGGTGATGTGCTGCAAGCTGGGGAGGAGGTTACAGATGGTGCCGTGGCTGTGAGCCCAGCGGACGAGTTTACACAAACTGTCCGAGGTGGTTTGAACCAGGCTGGACATCATAGGATGTCTGAAACAGAGAGCGAGAAGACGGTGTTAGAAACACTTTAATGTTATTTATTTGTATCTGTTGCTAATATCACTGGCATCATAGATAACAACTGCTTTCATCAGCTGCCTTTGCTGTTATCTTTCTTTCCTTTGCTGCTGATGCCACAAGTTTTTTTTAATAATTACTCAAGGAAATTCACATTTACAGGCGGTGCAAGTCTTGATTTGATCCATCTTAATTTTCAGCCATGTGTGACCTAAACTGAGTCCTAAGAACAGCTTCTCATATTAGAGGCTCATTTATTTTTCAGTTTTTTGTGTTTTTGACTTTCTTCAATTTCAGGGTTTACATTATGCAAAATGTTTCATGTTCTTGTATATAAACTGGCGATTTAATTTTTTTTTTTTTACTGTTTTCACTTTAGCAGACAAAAAAGACGTGCTGATTTTTAATGCATGTTTACCACAAATGACCACATCTAATCTGTAAGTGTTTTCCCCTTTTCTCCTCTTTAAATGATCCTCAAAGAAGACTTGTTGCTTTGCAAGTCCTATCGTGCAACAGCTGGATACTACACCTCGTAGCATGCAGCTGCTGCAATACTGAATCCCCTGATTCAGTTTACCATGGTAAAGATTACAGTCACATATTTATGAAGGCAAAATTTTCCAATTCATAAAAATAAATCTTGTCGGTTACAAGACGCCTAATTGTAGCTAGAGCAAATGAACTGTAAAGACAGAGTGTCCTTCAGTTTCCTGTTAAAAACAAGTTATATTTTATTTAAACTGGCATAAATCATCAATTTATCTTCCTCTCGATCAAATCTGTCCACAGGCAAATCCTAATTTAACAGACACAGGAAAACAAAGCACCTACAGCACATACACATGCCTCATAATTACCTTTAAAAAAGAAATCTAAATTAAACCAGGTCCATGCAGGTTTCACATAATTTATTCCGCAGCTGCCTGCAGTAAGCCAAAGCAACTCTCGGGTCTTATGTGCTGACGCGAAACACGCTTGATTAAAAATAATAATAATAAATGTCCAGCTTTTGTTTAATTATTATCTTCTTTGTCCGGTAGGTTTAATATCGCCACAGTTGAATGAAAGGGTTGGTTTACTGCCAGCAAGTGGACGGGAGGATGAACTGTGCTCTGCTCTCAGTGGGTGATGAAACAGCGACCTCTAGTGGGCAGAGGGGGTATTAATATATCCTGCACATGCATATTATTTTTATTTTATTTTTGTTTTGATACAATTTAAATTATAAGAGGATGAGAAATAAAATATCCCATTCATCCATACAGATTGTAAGACGTGTTAAAAAAACATTTAATATTTCTTTTGCCGGGTTAAAACATGTTTTTACGTATTTATATATACTTATTTTCTCCCTGACACCCAACTAAAAAGCAGTATCACAGCAGCATAAGCAGCCAAACAAGTTGTGCTGTCACAAAAAAAATCTTCTCAGATTACAAATCAAGCGAACAGAACCTGTCAAATTGATGCGAACACATCGTTCCTGCCCGGTGAAGCTGAAACATCCAAGAACTTGATGCAGACTTTACTTTAAAACACAAACAGTATTTTATTTTTAACTTTTTATCAAAGCCCAAATTAACTTTTAACGTTTAAAGTGTGTATTTTTAGCATCCTGAAGAGTGACTAGCGAATTTCTCTAATTAACATAAGACTTGTTAGCCCGAGACCAGTTCAAAGATTACGTGCAATGACGTCATAGCCCATAAAGCAGGTTAACTGGGGCAGTTAATCTAACATACCCCGCTTGATGTGGATTGTTCCGTGTCTGGATAAATGAGTGTATAAAAGCTGGAAGGTTTTTGGTTTTTAAAAGTTATTGGTCCGACTTCAGAGACTTGACTGAACGTGTTCCTGGCTCCACCCTCCGTTAGTCAGCCTGTGTAACTACGTGTTAGTGCTGGTGCCTTTAACTTACAAGCATCTTGGAGAGAGGAGGGGAAAAAAGAGGACTTTCCCCCCGGCTTTTATCTTAGGGAAAGACGGCTATCCTGCCGTCGCAAGTTTGTTGGCTTTAAACTTGAATAGCCGGTGTCTTTCCGTAAGGGAGAAAAAAAGGACAGGTTTTGAATGCGTTTTCGGACTTGGATTAAGTTGTGCATGGAAACTAATGATATTTGAACCCGCGGAAAGGAGAGAGAGGAGGTGGGTGTCGGATACAGGACTACTTTTGCGTGTCCGTCTTATTCTTTTGCGCGTGGATCACAGATACAAGCGTGTTTAATTTGGTCAAAGGTGGAATGGTTTGTTTTTTGTTTTTACCATAAAACTTCCTAAATCTGATTAAAGCTGCACAGATCCTAAAGGTTTAATCGTGCTGGAAGACATAACATTTTCGAGGAAGCTTTGAGAATCAGAACCAGAAATATATATCTACATAGAGATATAAATATATAAAAATATATTGCAGCAGTATTGAAATTATGGCGCTGAAGGCCAAAGTGTTGTACGATTTCCACTCTGAAAATCCAGGAGAGATCTCCATAGCAGAGAATGAGGTGGTGACTCTGTTTAGCGAGGAGGAGCTGGAGGGTTGGCTGGAGGGGGAGAACAGCAGGGGGGAGGCTGGCCTCTTCCCTGCCTCTTATGTTGAGATCATCAGAGACCACATCACCTCCAACAACAATGGCTTCTCCTTGACCCAAACCAAAGTCCAGACCTCCTACACATCCTCCCAGCCTCACAGAGGATTTGGGGCTGATAGCAGCAGCTTCCACACTAGCCAGGGCAGCGATGATGACTGGGATGACGAGTGGGACGACAGCTCTCCTGTGGCCAATGTCCCTCAGGGTCTCAGCAGCAGCCCTCCTTTGCACCCAGTTGCCACCTCCCTGCCGGGCCGTGGGAGCTCCCAGCAGCAGCAGGCCAAGAGTTCAGCCACAGTGGGGAGGAACCTGAACAGGTTCTCCACCTTCGTCAAGTCCGGAGGGGAGGCCTTCCTGCTAGGGGAGGCGTCAGCTTTTGTGAAAGATGGAGACAGGATCTGTGTGGTGATGGGGAAGCATGGACCCGAGTGGCAGGAGGACCCGTATCCGTTCACGTGCACCATTGACGACCCCACCAAGCAAACAAAGTTCAAAGGGATGAAGAGCTACATGTCATATGGCCTTACTCCAACGCACACCAATGTCCAAGTCAACCGCAGGTATGTATCGCCTTCTTATTTCTCCACTTTTCAGATTTTTACTGCGGTTTACGAAATGTTAAAAACAGAGCTGTGGATTTTTGCCATCTGGAGCCTTCTCTTGTTTCCTCTCTGAGGTTCCCTCAACAGCTTTCACATTGTTTCCATGTCCCTGTGTCTGTCAGTTGAACTACACTCGAATTCCCTCAGGGCATGTTGGGAAAAGATTCCTGCACTTCGCCTCCATTTATCTTTTTCACTCTGTCTCACTACATGCTCCTGGCATTTACCTTACCTCGCTTATTCAACCAGTCCCAATTTCTCTTCTCTCCACTCCTTCCTGCAGGTATAAACACTTTGACTGGCTCTACGGTCGGCTCGTGGAGCGCTTCCCTGTCATCTCAGTGCCCCACCTGCCAGAGAAGCAGGCCACGGGCCGCTTCGAGGAGGACTTCCTCTCCAAGAGGAGGAAGGGTCTGATCTGGTGGATGAACCACATGACAAGCCATCCTGTGCTGGCGCACTGTGACGTTTTCCAGCATTTCCTGACTTGTGGGGCGGATGAGAAGGCATGGAAGCAGGGAAAGAGGAAGGCAGAGAGGGACGAGCTGGTCGGGGCCAATTTCTTCCTCACAATCAGGTAGGAGTCTGAGAATTGGTCTTTATTAAGATGCACATAGCATTTTGGGAAATGACAAAGTTTTTTGTCAGGTTCTTTTTAATAGTGTTAAGTTTAGCTGAAAGATATTTGACCTTGTATAGGGAACTAATATTATAAACTACGTTCTTTGCTCTGTTTTAACAACTTGGAGTTGAAGGCCTTTAAAAATAGGGTGTGCCAGATAGTGAGCAAAAGATAAGCAGTAGAAAAAGATTTAAAATGACAATCTTCCCCTTTCTTTTTTCCATCAGCCCCCCATCTGTACCTCTGGACCTGCAGGAAGTCGAGAGCAAGATTGAAGGCTTCAAAACATTCACCAAGAAGATGGACGAGAACATCATAGTTGTGAACACCAGCATCAACGAGTTCGGCCGCAAACAAATATCGGGGTTCAAAAAGGAGTACCAGAAGGTCGGACAGTCCTTCAAACTCCTGGCCCAGGCTTTCGAGCTGGACCAGCAGGTCTTCTCAGTGGGCTTGAACAAGGCCATTTCCTACACGGGGGAGTCTTACGAGGCAATAGGAGAGTATTTTGCTGATCAGCCGCGGCAGGACCTGGACCTCATTTCCGACCTGCTGGACATCTACAAAGGACACCTGGCCAACTTCCCTGACATCATCCATGTGCAGAAAGGTGGGAGAGTGTCTTTGTCTTCATGTTGGTAAAAAAAATCCAGCTCTGCAGTCTTAGAGCACAAATGCAAAGGAAAGACGTTGAGCACATTTTTATGCAGGGCTAACGTTTTAATACTGCCTAAACATGTTAAAATACTTTCTTGGGAAAATAAATTCTAATTAGTAACAAACCAATTATGAAAAATCAAAAAACAAACAAACTTAGAGGAAAGAAAACAGACTCGGCACCAAGTATGTAGGGAAGCTTTTAACTGGCGTTTAAAGAAAAAAATTTAAATGAATTATATGCGTCTAAATGCTTCTAGCATGTCTGTTAATCATGCAGACATACAAAGACCCAGATTCTGACTGTATCCCAACCAAGAGAAACATCTGTTTTCATTTAGTGAAGAGCAGTGTCAATCTGCGTCGAAAACTAAAACCTGTGGTCCATTGTAACACTCGGGGTACTGTGCGAGGGCCTGTATTTGCTCATTTTGAAAACACACACACACACTTACAAAGCAGGAGTTGGCTTATTAGTTCCCTGCAGGTTGGGA